GCCCTGGCCCTTCCCGGTGGTCACCCGTCCCCGACCCAGATTCCTGGTGGTCTCCTACTTCCAACCCAGATTCCTCATGGTTTCCCATCCCCAGCCCAGGTCCTTGGTGGTCTCCCAGCCCCAATACAGGTTCCCTGTGGTCTCCCACCCTTGACCCAGGTTCATGGTGGTCTCCCATCCCAAGCCCAGATTCCTGGTAGTCTCTTACTTCCAACCCAGATTCCTGGTGGTCTCCCATCCCCAAACCTGATTCCTGGTAGTCTTCTACTTCCATCCCAGATTCCCGATGGTCTCCCACTTCCAACCCAGATTCCTCATGGTTTCCCATCACCAACCCAGGTCCTTGGTGGTCTCCCACCCCCAGCTCAGGTTCCCTGTGGTCTCTCACCCCTGACCCAGGTTCATGGTGGTCTCCCACCCCCAACCCAGCTTCCCAGTGATCTCCCATCTCTGACCCAGATTCCTGGTGGTCTTTCATTCCCAGCCCAGTCTCTGGTTGGGCCCCTGGAGCCATCAGGAATTGACCTCCACTGGAGGGGATCCTTATTTCTAATTCTGAATTTACGTGGCAGGAATCTGACTCTGAATCAAGCTGCTTAGAGTTTAGACTTCCCCCTTTGAAATCTAATCGGGTGGGATTTGCGCTCTGGATGTTTGCAATTTAGCCCTAAAATGGCAGGCACTTGTTCTTTGGCTGATGCAAAAAAGCGTTTAAAGAATGACAAGAATAATCATTCTTTAAACCCTTTTTTACCCGGTGCCTTCCAGGCATTTGGGATCCCAACTCTCATCAGCCCCGGCTAGCGTAACCAGTGTGGTCAGGGTGTATGGCAGGTGCAGAACTTTAATTTCTCTCTTGGAAATGTTGAAATAATCCTTTAAAAATGTCCTTAGAGATCGGGCAGTCAGTTGTCCTAAATCACACCTAATGCTAAACCACAGTGGTGAGTTTGTGAGTCCAACCCCCTGTGACTTGCTCAAGAAATGATGGCTAAACAGGCTTGGCTTAACACGCGTAAACCAGGCCAATGCGTTTCTCTGTGTAACAGAATGGTACCAGTCAGATTTAGCACGTCCCCTGTCTTTCTCTTGTCCTTCCATCAAGAATGGGGGCATTTCTCAAGTGGTTCTCTTGATTTCTTTTTATTCTTCATGGGGAGGGGTATCTAAAATAATTTATGTCTTTCAGTGATGAGGTTTGAGGAGGGAAAAAAACAGTTTCTGTGAAATATTAAATCTGTAGCCCAGTTCTGTAGGCACATCTGTTGTAATTGAAAAGCAAGCTAAAAAAGGTCTGTTTAAGCAGGCGTTTTAATGGTGAGCAATTGAGTACCTCTAGGGAGACCACATGCTACTGAATGATAAAGGTCATTTGTTGTTATTCTTCTGGCAGATGTTTTCCTTCCTGACTCACATATGCCAGCTGTAACCTTCCTCCAAGAACTGCCCAGTTACCAGTCTATGCGGAGGAGAAGACTGTTATCCCCACATGTGGGCAACTACCACAGTTTAGCCCGATCGGCTTCTGGAGAGACCAGGAATCTGCTCAAAGGGACAGAATTCAGAAGTCTCAACTTGGCATGCCCGCTGAGAGAATGTACCTTGTCGATTGCGGAGAAGAGACGTTTAAGGTTTGAGTGGAAATGCTGCCAATTGTAGAGCAGTATAGTTCTGGGGTCTCTTTCTAGTTGTTTAAAAAAAAATGCCCTCTGACATTGGACAGTGGGAGATCTAAGTCCCATTTGTAAAAGAGCGATCCGAAGGCTGTCGTGATGAATTGCTTTAAGCTTGGAGCTCTGTTTAAACATGGCCTTGCTTGGAACACGCATGTCAAGATTTTCCAAACTGCACGCTGTGTGTCAAGCTGTCTCCCACGAAAAGGGCATATGGAATGTGTTTGCCAACCTAGTGAATCTTTGAAAAGTTCAGGAACATGTTCGCACATCATGCTTTAGAAGAAAATTTTAATATTTAGGTTTTGTAATTGGAAATACAGGTGATCACATAATTCACATAATGGTGCTTGAAGACATCACAATTGTCTTTTGTGTTTTCTTTTGTATTTTTAAGTTGTAAACTGCCAGGAATCTGTTCAGAGTGTGGTAGCATATATGAATGCCACACCGTGTTTTTTAAAACGTGGTTTGTGGAAAGAAACAGTTGGGGAGATTCACAGAACTTGCTGAGCCGTAAACCTTGGTGTCACAACTGCAGTGGCTGCATTCACACAATACAGTAAAAGCCAAAGAAACCATGTTATGCTTAGCATAATGTAAGAACCTAACCTGTATTTTACTCATTCCAAAGTGAGATGTGAGATGCACTTACCATGTCTGTTTTTCTGATCAGGGAGATTGAGGAAAAACACATAAAATCTCAGTCAAGGTGGGATCAGTGGAAGAAATCATCTAATAGATCACTAAAAAGAATTACAGAGAATGCCAAAGAATTAATCTCTTACCTGGAATTGTGGAGATACAACATCCATAGCATTGAAGGTACATCTTATTTATTGCTTTTGCACTCTGCTACATTGGCTTCTTGGCTGGCAGATCTGTTGCATTGCCTGTGGTGTACATAGACTAGAAAGACATTTTTGGTGTCTGAAGGAGGATTTCCTGGAACACTTACTATGATCCCATTTGGCTGCTGAGTCTGGAACAAGGCAAGGCGTCTCTCCCCCAAATAGGAATAACAGGTCATCTGATGCGTGAGAGGTTTCAAGCTTTTGATTAGAAAAACAAGCTGAATAAAAAATGAATGATGCCAGTTGAGTGTCTTTAGAACGAACATCCTAAAATCAGGGTGCCCCACCAAACTGTATTTTATGTTATGTGTGTAATTTATGAGAAACAACCCTAAGATGTGGCTTGCTTGACCAAGATTTATTTAATTAACCATAATTGATTGGCTCATGGAGTTAGGTTAAGGCACAAACCATAATGTGACAGCCCACAACTGGCACAGCTGCACAGAAAGACAAGTCACCGAACGGGGCTGTGAGTCCCATAAAGGGATCAGTTGACTGTCTTAATGCTGAATAATTAAATGATTCATTTGTGCACCGCTGGAATATTTCTCTCTCTTTCTCTTAGAGAAATTTGGCACTGGGATCAAGTCTTACTTTTCTTTCCTGCGGTTCCTGGTGGTGTTGAACGTTGTCATCTTCCTTCTCCTGTTCAGCTTTATCGCCCTTCCGACTGCTCTTTTTAGATACGGAATTGTCAACGGCAGCTACGTGAAGGTTCCCCTAGAAACAGGTAACTTGCTCTTCCTGTGAACCTCTTTGCAGAGCATGATTAGAACTGCATGCCTGTGGAAGAACAGGCTATCCTCGATGCAGCTGATGGGCAAAATATTCAGGTTTTTTGCTCCTTCTAATGTTTTTCTTTTGCTCTGAATGTTGTTCTCTACAGAGCCAGAGTGCACGGTTTATGCAATCAGTAGCACCAAAGGACTTGTCTCTTTCTACAGTTATATTATAGATCTGCTATCGGGCACAGTGAGTAGTTGACCGTACCTTTCTAAATCCAACGAACACATGTAAAATAGCAATAACCCCCCCCCCCCAAAAGGGGGGTTTTCATTATGCCTTTCTCTGCCAGTTGCAGAATAAATTAGTGAGAATGTGCTAGAGAGGCAGATCTTCTTAAGCCTCCATAGGATCAAGAACAGACCACCTTTGAAAAGTTGCTAAATGGATAAGCTCCAAGCAACCTTTGTCAGCATGTCCCCTCGCAGGGGATGTTAAAAGTTGTACTTCAGCAGCTTCTGCTGCTCCATAAAGACAGTCTTGTGTTTGGAGAAACTTTAAAGCGAATATGGGCACTGCACTTGTGTTTTTACAGTTACCAAAAAAAAAACCAAATACCCAACCCCACTATTATAACTTCAGCATCCTGAAAACTTTTGCTTTATTTTTTTTAAACCAAGTTCCTAGTTCTTTCTGATTAAAAACGCATTACTTTTCAGAAGCCTTCCCCTGTTGCTCCCAGTAGCTTATGACAGCATATCTATTTTTCTTTTCCTTTTCATTGCCGGGATGGGAAAACAAATCCTAGCTCTACCTCTAGTCCTAAAACAAAGAGACCAGTTTTGCTTTTTCGTCAGTTGAGGTTGGTACCAGCCCTGATTCCTCCTCCCCCCCCCCCGCAAATGTCTCTGGTGCATCTGGTGCTTTGACGTTCTTCAGTCTGGTTCATGTAGCTTGATATGAAGCCCTGCATTTGTTGGGATTTAGTCAGTGAACCACTGTTGGCTGGGTGTGTTGCCACCATGGAAGATTGGAGAAGGAACAGGGATGCAGAGCCCTTTTTCCCTTTCCATGTCTAAGAAATCCCTGGGTAGAAAGGAAAAAATTAGGGGTGCAGTAGTGCCTTTTCTGTGCAACAAATTTTGGTCAGAAATGTGCAGGTCGTGACACTTTTTAATAATCAGAGTTGTGAGTCAGAAAACGTGCTATCAGACTCCTGATTTTTTGCTTTCAGAGATTAACACCTGACTGTTCTACGACACTGTGTAGAAAGGGTTCTTTAGCTACCTGGGGCAATTTGTTTTTTAAATTCCTCCGCAGGTGTGCTTAGAAAAAGTGAATTGTGTCAGGCTTGCTTGTGAGCCTTTTATCTTTCTTCGTACTTGTCACCGTTAAGATAAAGAGGATGACACCAGCTCCCTAATCTAACAAAAGGGATGGGGCAACAATCACAGCACACTAGAAGCAGTGTTCTCATAGACATATTGCAAGGGCCACTTCTCAGGGACTCCAAATTCTTGATCAGAGATTTCATCAGACCATCCTGAGGTGCTGTTTGCTAGGGACTCTATCTTACTGAAAAATACCTGTGGCACGTGGTCCATCATCTGAAGTGATGACCAGGTCACTGATAAGATCGGCTACTGAGCCATTCCCAGTGGTACTTTTTTTTAATTAAGAGCCAGAAAAATGTATACTTTATGCTTAAGAATGAAAAATATTGAAAGATAACAAAAGCCCCCTAGAGAGCTTGAATCTCAGCATAGACCCAAAGTCTTAAGAAGGTGCCACAGAACCACCAGCTCCAGTGGTCCATCTGCTGACCCTCTTGGGGTTCTTGGCAAGCTGAAAGAATGTGGATTGGTATATCTTTTTTTCTCTGTAACTCTTCTAATATTTACTCAATAAAATCCTTTTAGACCTTTCACCCTAGATTAAGCCTATTGTCTCTGAATCCTAAAGAACCTGCTGTCTTCCAGCAGGCCGCTGGGGGGCAACACACTGGGTTTGCTCCACATGCTATACGAACCATGGTTTAGAAGCCACTAGCTTACAGATCATTCCTCGTTGCCTCTTGGATCCTTCACTGTGGTTGTATATATGAAGTAGGATGGATTTTATGTATATATGCTGGTCCGTGATCGTAATAAAGTCTTAGTGACTAGCCACTAACTGGTTTGCAATCCGTGGTTGCTTTTTTCAGACAATATGCTAAGAAATCAGATGATGGCTTAGTTTGTTATACAAACAGTCCTTTCAGAAGGATTTGACTTCTGTAGCTGGTGGATTTCTGAATGGGTCAATGGTAGAGGGGAAAAACTGCTTTGTAGTAGCTGTAGCCTAATAGCCATTGATGGCTTCAGACTGCTGGGTTCAGCATTCAGCCAAGCCTCTAAAGCATAACTGTTCCCCATTGTGTGTCTCTATGAAGCAGCTTGACCTTTCTTTGTTGAACTCTATTTGCAGGGGTTTCTTGAAATGACAAGTCTCTTTTATGGCTATTACACAGTGGATAATGTATATTTGGGCCTGCTGGAATATCATGTGCCGCTTGCGTATTTGCTGATCACGCTGGCTTACCTTTCTTTGAGCTTTGTCTGGATTATCAAAAGGTGAGTCCTGTTGGGAAAGTCAATCCATGACTTTGGTTCCCTCTGCCAACAGAGCACAGTAGAAATGACCATTCTAAAGAGCAGTGTTGAGGATTGAAGGATTCTAAAGGGCTGTGTATTTTTAACACACTGGATAGATATTCTGACCACATGAGCGTAATATGGATTCCCAAAATCTGACATCTCTCTATTCAGACAGCATTAACTCTCATCCTTCCAATATTGGTTTGTACAGTAGTCTAAAGTAAGTGTATTGTTTATAGCAAATTCAAGCTGAAGCTGTTCAACTCTCAGGTACTGTCCAAATGCAGCTGAAGATCCCATCAGTTTGAGCAGATGTTGGCCGGAAAGATGTTGGCTTTGTTGGCACAGACAGTGATTGAGCTGGTGATCAGTTGATCCTGGAGATCACATTTCGGTAATGGAGGATCCCAGGATGTCGGATAAACATGAAGCACTCTGGGATCAGGCTACGTTAAGCAACCAGATGATTTTTAAGATTGCAGTGGCTATGATGTGGATATACATATGAAAGTCTGTGCTACATCTGAGTGGCATGTAGGAGCAGAAAAATAGATATGAGGAGTGAAATCAGTAACAATCCATTACAATATTGAGAACCTAATTATTAGCACTGTTCTGAATGGAGGAAGGTCTTCAAAGCTCCATAGAAAATCATGACGATTAGAAAGAATTTGAGATAAAATAGTCTGAGTTCACACAACCCTCTAAGCCAGCCCAGACATTAGGGCTTAGCACAATGTGTGAAACCAGCCACTGTTAGAGAACCAAATTACGGCTTTATTACACGAAAACTGTGCTACATAAACCTTGAAAGCAACCCAGCTGCCTACATACAATGTTTTGCTTGAATTTCCCTACTGTACTTTCAAGTATTGGGGAGAGGAATAAAAGAAAGTATAACAAAACGTGGTGTTTTCATCTGAAGTTACACTGCAGAGTCATGGATTTGACCCTAGATGCCAGTTGGTGTTCTGATCTAAGACTGATCCCATTGAAAAAGTCCCAGATTAAACAGAACTGATTCTCATCAAGTATACCTGAAATGCTGCTGCAGAAGATGTAAACTCTTTGAAGTCTGTGTAAAAATTTTACACCCTGAAATTTCTTCATAATACTGTTTTCTTTTTTAAAAAACAAAACAAAACTGGCAATGTTATTAATAGGTCGGTTGAAGGTTTTAAGCGAAGCTTGGTGTACAGTGAAGATCCGTTTCAGAGCTACTGCAACAAAATTCTTGCTGGCTGGGATTTCTGCATTACAGATGTAAACGCCGCACGGCTGAAACAGAGTAGTTTACTTTATGAACTTAAAGTACGTATATGTTTTTTTCTAAGAGCGTATTGAACTGTGCTGCCTTATCAAATATCCCAAGGAGCAAACAACTGCATAAACTTGCAATATGGTTATGCAAAAATGGATTGATTGATAAACAGAATATTCCAGAGGATTCCAGAACATTCCATTTTCTCTCTGGGCCATGCCATTCAAAGAGCGGTCTGGTGGTTTCTGGAAGTAAATCCTCCAAACCAGAAGTGGTTTGAGATGTTCCAGGGAGGGTCCACCCCTGTTTCACCCAGAATACCATATCCAAGATATATCACACTGCTTCCAGTTTAGAGGGTTTATTTCTGGAAACTGCAAAACTCCCCCCAAAATAGCATGGCCGGGAGGAGGTTGGGCGTGGTCCAAAGGGGGAACAGAATGTTCCAGAGTTCTCCAGAACGTTCCATTTTGCAAAGCAATGAGTTTTGCATGTCTCTAGTTCATAGTATCCCTCCCCGTCCTGATGTCTGACAAGTGTGTTGACATTACAAGTCCTGGCCCACATATTTTTGGGTCATACTGGCTAGGAGTGATGGGAGGTGGTATACGGTACTTCTAGGGAGCATCAGGTCAAGGAAGACCATGGTTAGATGTCTGGGTGAAGAACAGGATGCAGTTACGTTAGATAATGGTCAGATTTGCAAACAAATTGTTTTGCAACCTGAAGAAATCTTTTTTGCAGGCCCCCTTAAAGACAGTTGTGGCAAGAACAAGAGCCTTTCCATGCCTTTGTTAGCACTCTCCATTACCAGGGATGAGCCAGGTGCACACTGTATTCTTTTATGTCTTTGTGCAAAGCTTCGTCTTGTATTGCAAGATGGACGGTTCCCAGACCCTTTTTTCCAGCCCCAGAAATTCTCTCAACTGGACTGGTTTGGAATTTTAAGAGAAATAAAAACAGGCTACGGGTTGTGTATGGGTCCCCGTAGGCTTAATATATCTATATTAGTTTGAAAAAGAGAAGGATAGAAAAAGTTGGATGACTTTGCCAGACAGCCTTTCGGAGCTAAATAATAAATAAAAGTGGAACCTCTGGCCACAAAACGAGTTTTGTAGTTTCTTCTCCGATCTCCTGACAGCTGCATTCAGGGATAATCCTAGAAAAAGGATGTGTGGTTTTTTTCCCCCCCTCCTGGCATTTGCCATAAGTTGTGTTAGAAATATCAGCAACAAAGGTAGGAAAACTATTCAGCTGGGGAAATGCTTGATTGTTGAATTATCCAAGATTTCTCTTCTTATGACCAGGAAGAGGTCATTGCTTTGTCTCAGATGATATGGTCTCTTCTTTTGACTCAAAGATTTGTTTAAAAATTATTCTTTTGATTGACTGATCAATTGATTGATTTAAAAATCAAACCTGTAAATATATTTTTGTTCACAGACTGATTTGCAGGAAGAAGACAGAAGGCAGAAGGCAGCAGAAAGAACCCTCAAAGAGAAAATACGTATCTATTGCTTGAGAATCTTCTTAAACGGTGTCGTTTTGGCTGTTCTATCAGCTTGTTTTTATTCCATCTATAGAGTAACTGTCTATTCACAAGAACATACTTTCCAAGTGAGTAGCATGCAATTTTTGAAATTATTCTATATTTAGAATATATTTAGAGTATAGAATGTATTTAGAATATTTAAAAGGCTCATGGCATTTTATTCTTTCAGTCAGTTTTATTTTCTCAACAACTCTGAGGAAAAGATTTGGCTTAGGGTGGTAGTTGGTTCACACATTGGGTTAAACTAGTATTTATTTTAACCATGGTTTGTTGAACCCAGCCATTGTGGCCATATATAAACTAGGCTACTGTGACATGCTTAACAAACCAATGTTCAAGCAGATCATTGGCTTAGCCCAATGTTGGGAGCAAACCACAAATTTCTGTGCAAAGATGTTGCACCTGTGGAACAATTTTGAAATGTCCAGTTTGATGATGGCAAGTTGGTATACGAGAGGAATAATGCAGAGCTGAAAGCCAGATCTATTTTAATCTGCTGGGAGAGGAGTTATCTGCAGTGCCTTAAGCCCTGGGCAGCTGGAGGCTGAAAGAAGGAGATTGGTGGCAGTTTGATTTGTTAAAGATTTCTTAATTGGATAGCAAAGAAACTTTTCCTCCATGCAGGAAAACAACATCAAATTTGACAACCTCTTTGTGCAATACTTACCTTCTATGGTGATCACCGTAGCGAACTTTTTTGCCCCCCTGATTTTTTCGTTTCTCGTCCAATATGAAGATTATTCGCCTGTCTTTGAGATACGATTAACTCTGATCAGGTAAGCCCACATGCTGGTGGCCTTCCATTGCTTGCTTGCTTTTCTAATATGGGGAGCAGGACTGCCTGTAGACCACAGGCAACCCACTAAGCTCCATTTGTGGGTCCTGAAATTGGATAGGATTCAGTAGCAGCTACAGTGGTACCTCGGGTTACGAACGCCTCTGTTAACAAACTTTTTGGGTTACGACCAGCT